GGGTTCAGCCTGGAGAAGAGAAGGCTCCAGGGAGACCTTATTGCAGCCGGCCACGGCTTAAAGGGGGCTGATAAGAAAGATGGGGACAGACTTTAAAGCAGGTTCTGTTGCGATAGGACAAAGGGTAACAGTTTTAAACTAAAAGAAGGTAGGTTTAGACTAAATCTAAGGAAGAAATTTTTCACCATGAGGGTGGTGAACCCCTGTCCCAGGTTGCCCAGAGAGGTGGTCGATGCCCCATCCCTGGCAACATCCCAGGTCAGGTAGGACGGGGCTCTGAGCAACCTGCTGTAGTTGAAGATGTTCCTGCTCATGGCAAGGGATTGGACTAGATGACCTTTAAAGGCCCTTTCCGACTCAAACTATTCTGATTTTTATAAAAAGTGAAAACTCCTAAAATTTCATTTCCTCTTTAACAACCCATTTCCAAAAGGTATATTTTTGTCCTTGCATCATCATATCACAAATTGATAATGACTTTTGATCGAATATAGCGTTGGTGCTATTTGTTAGACCTTATTACCCATTTGTAGGCACCTCCAAACTCCTCTTGATTCCTGTAGGTTGGGTTACATCCAGACATGCATATGCGCACCTGGAGGTGTTTCTTACATGCAGCTGGGGCAACAACAGGTAATCCCCTTTCCCTGATGAAAAGGGAAAGGTTATATTGCCCATCCATCTGGGGGCAGGGTGTGGGAGAAAACATAGTGTCGTTTTGTGGAGTTTAGTGTCTTATGAAGTATGTGCTTTGCTTCCCCTGTCCCCCTCCCTTAAAATGTTTTTCTTCCCTCAGTTCAAAGGCTTTTTTTTTGTATTATTTTCCAGAATTACTTTGCCCTCAGATTCCTGAGGGCCCAACCATGAAAGCACTGCCTGTAGACCCTCTTGTATTGGAAACACCTCAAAAGTTCTTCTTGCGTGTAAAGCAGAAATTGCAGCAGCAGCGAAAAGGTACTTGGTATTCCTCTTAAAAGCACTTCAACATCTTTCTTGCTTTCAGGTTTTCTGTTCTTGTTTACAATCTCTTGCGCACCATATCAGAGTATCATTCTTCTTTCTTTGTAGTCTGCACGCAGTGGAAAATGGAAGAAGAAACCTGCAAATCTGCCTTTCCAAACCTGGAGATGGTGTTAAGCTTGTCATAACTGTGGTTTAGGGCTGTGGGTTTCTGACCTTAAAGCTTGACTTCGTTATTCTGTTTGAGTGCATCATCTCCTCTGACAAAGTCATCTACCTTCAGGATCCTGATGTGGCTAAGAGTTCTTTAGAGACTAGGTGTAACACTGCCATTTGAATGGGAAACTTGGTAGAAAAATCCTAAACCTCTTATTTGTTGGCTTTTTTTTTCCTTCTCTCCTAGCTTTTAATACATAAAGTGAAAAGGTTTGGTTCCTTGAGAAATTTTCTTGTATTTGTTTTTTTTTCCCTTATTGTTACTTGATAGCAACCCAGTATATGCTTCTGTCCTGTCATTCAGTGTTTGAAAATGCAGATGAAGGAAATGATGCATGCCAAAGTCTTAGTAGTGTTCAGCTTCAAAACTGAACTTGATTTATCTGAAAACTCAAACCCCAATGCTTGTAGCTCCCAACATAGCAGCAACGCGTCTAGAAGTCCAGATCTTAAGTCTGGAAAGATCAGAATATTTGAGATGTTGATTTTTGTGAAAACAGATTTATTTTTTTTTTTTACCATTCTTCATATCTTTTCTTTAATAAACCCTCCTTCCAGAGGAAAAGTTATACTATTAATAGATATGGTGTGCATTAGCTTGGTTTTGGGGGGAAGTGGGGTATCTGTAAGTCTTTAACAGGAGGGGTATTGATATGGTGGTGAGGAGAAGCTAGTCCGAACAAATTCAACGAGTGGCTTGCTATTAATGTTAACAGTTGAAATAGGCAGTGCTTTCACAGTTGTTGTAGTGATAATCAATACGGTCTCCTCTTATTAAAAATGGAGCTAATGCTATTAATATATTTTTATTAGTTCTGAAATATCACTAACTTTTGTTTCTTTTGTGTGGTTTGTTGTTTGTTGTTTTTTTTTTAATGGGCAGATCCAACACCTTCAAACCCAATCAAGCAGAACATTCCTCCTTCCACGACTACAGAAAAGCCATTAGTCAAACCTGCTTTTGCTGAGCAGCTCAGGAATGATCCTACAGAGTCTGTGGCCATCGATAAGGCTGATGACGATGGTTTCCTTGTGGAATCAATGGATGCTGATGATGAAATGTCTCAAAATACAGTGACTAATTCTGGGAATTTAAACTCCACCCCTATTAAAAATGGGGATCAGTTAGAAGAAAGATGGAGAAATAGAGAAGCAAAATGTACTGAACCTCATCAAGACAGAAGAGAGTTGCAGCCAAGTAATAAGCAAGATGCTCACAGAATAGAAAAGGTAGTGGAGACTAATTCTCAAAAGCCCTCAGAGTGCTTATGTAGTATTACGCTCTCTTCTCCCAAAGTCCACATTCCAAGGAAGCAAAAGCCGAAAGAAAGCTGTAAGGTCCCTTTGGATAAACCTCATACGGGTGAAGTTGCTGGCAAAGCAGACAACAAGGTAGGAGAACTTAATACTTTGGGGCAACTGATATATTTCTGTGGGCTGCTTGTAGCTCATAGTTGCAATTTATTTATTTTTTCTTGTCAAAAGGAATGAGCACTCAGAAGAGAATGAACTATTTTTATTAGATTGTACTGATAAACGCTTTCCCACTAAAAGGATTTCTTTTTTCCCTGATATGCCAAGATAGCAATTTTCTGGGTTTTTTGTATAAAAGAAAGCTTTTTGGTTTAGTGTTCACAAACCATAATATGGGCTGAAAGAGTTCTCTACCTGAATGAGCCTCCTACATCATTTCTTTAATATGTTGATGGCCATGTGTTGGTATGGTGGACATGAAACAAATCACTGGCCAATCCAGCTCTTGACTGTCTACACAAAGCCACAGAGGAGAGATCTTTCCTAGCTGTAGGCTAGGGATGGTTCTAAAGTTAACTGAGTCTGTACAGCTGATAGTGAGGTAAAAGTCTTGGCTTTCCTACAGAATATCCAAACTTCTGTTGAATTAAGTAGGACAAGAATCTTTTCCTAGGAGACTAGTCTGCAGATCTTATTTTCAATTCAATACATGCTTGGCAGTATTGAAAACTTTCTGAATAAACCTTGAGGAAAGCAGTGTATTTTGAAGTGTGCTGCATTCCTCAGTGATTAGCCTAGGAAACTGGTGGAAGCATACCTTCCCAAAGGTTGAGTTCCCTTTGTTCCCTGGCGAAATCTGTGGGATTGCAGTCCTCTTCAAGTTAAGCAAGTTAATTGTTTCATTCTCACTGTTGTCAAGTGTGTTTATATGTTTTTCTGTATTTTAAAAAACCTTTATATTGAGCTTTGATTTACATAAGGAACAGATATCTATTCATATTAAAGATTTGTAGCTGAGTAGAAGTTGCTGAAAGAGTTGATGTTGGATGCTACAGATCTGAGTGTTGAGTAGGTGCTGGCTGTACACGTCAGGTACCTTTCCTCAGTCAGGGCTGAATCATTGGTAAGATCTTTAGTAAAGTCAAGGTTGATGGTCAAAAGGCAAACACCATTAAAGAAAAGAACTGGACTTCATTAACTGAAGTTGTGAGGAGAAATATAATAGTTTCAGGTGTTAAAAATTGTTTTCAGAGAAGCTTTGTTTTAAAAAAGTCATATGTTTCTCACACAGTTTTCCAAACTGCAACTCAAGTGCAACTGGCTTGCTGGCTATGTAATGCAAAATAAAGGTACTGCAGCTGTATGTGCATCAGTAATTTGCAATACTGGATATAGCCATTTTAATACTGTCTAAATTTTAGCAATAATGTAGCTAATACATACAATTTTTTTTTTCATGGATAACGTTTTTTCAGAATAGTAACGGAGGACATATGACAAAGTGTAAGAGGTATGGCATAGTGTTGGTATTTTTTGTGAGGAGCTTTTTGGATTTGCATGAGGTATTGGCCAATGACTTTGCCTTCTGAAAGTCAACATCAAATTACTCAAAAGTTTCTATAAATTAAATTCATGTCTTCCCTTGTGTATTCTATGATTAGACTCCAGCTTGATTATGCTTCAACATTTATGTGTATAACAGTTCCTTTCAGTTTTTCTGGTCTGGAGGATGGTGCCTAAATATCTTCTCAAGTTATACAGGAGTTAATTTCTGTTTTGCTAATGCCTTGGTGATGTTGCATAGTCTAATTTAAAAATGACCTTTTTTTTTTTTGTAACAGAAGACTATCTGCCTAACCAGTTGGAGAATTAGAGTGATAGATGGTAACACTGCAATATGTGTTGAAGGAAAACGGAAGTAAGAAAAAGTTTTGTGATTTAAATGCAATGTAAAACACGTTGGTTGGCTTTCAGCATCTGAGCTAGGAAGGCTACCCCATCTTCACCTGGCTGAATAGCTGTAACTTTGAGAGTTGTATTCTTGGAGTATCTTGGTAACTGTTGGATGCAGTTCCACCCACTGCTGCCACTTTCCTCCCCAGCCACAGGGAACACGGCCCTTTGCTTGCATCCTGGCCCTTGTGACAGTGCTTACAACTTTTTTTTTTTTTTTTAAACATTGTTACCTATCTTCTGACTAAGCATGCTGAACCATTTGATTCAGAATCTGCAGCAGGGAGAAAGAACTGTGGTTGTCCTCACTTAGGTTGATTTAGGTCGCCATGGGAGCTTCACCTTCATGGAACTTAGTCTTTGGTAAATACAAAGTGATGTTATAGTTTAAACTTCTTTATCAAGGATGAAGTGAGTTCCATCATTTGTGCAAAAGGTAGAGTGCACAGGAAACTACTGGTTAAATAATTATTTCAAAGTCCAATCCTAAGTCGATCAAAGAGCTTAAGAGGAACAAAGACAAAGGTGTCTGTCTAGTGGATCCCCCAAACTAGTGCTGACTAGGGGTCTTATCAGCTTCTACTTCATTTCACAAAAATTCTATTTTGTGGCTAGGTGCAGACTGCCATCAGCCATATATTCCTGCCATATCATTTGTGATGGCAATATTACTCCTACAGCCATATTGTCAACCATGGCAGCAGCTGATCTACCGAAAACTGATTCTGCGTTTTTTTTTGTTATGTTTTTGGTCAGATTGTATTCAAATAGCTATAACATCAGGAAAACAAGTGTCAGAACAAAGGAGAGATTTAGCTTGCAATAAAGTTGTTTGAAGACATTGTGAAAATATACCCTCGGAAAAGAGTATTCTACTCTTTCTAGTTACTTACCTACTGAAAACTCGGAACCTCACTCAATAGCAGTAGCACTGTAAAAGGAAGTAACTCAGTATGCTTACTGAGACATGTCAGGGGGCTGCATATTCTGTTCTAGGATTTGTTGTAGGAATTTACATTTGTTTCATATCTGTATGGAAGCAGCTGATCCTTTCGGCACTCTTCACTGCTAGCAACGTGCTCTCTTTTCAGTTGTGTTGGTATGTATCTGAGACATGTTGCTTTATAGACCCTCTGAATAGACTTCTTTTAATATTTTGTGACAAGTTACACTGTGGTCTTGGGTATCAGTCCTTAATACTGTTCTGTAGTTTGGCCCTCAACACTCTATTGTAGATTTTCTACTTTAGTGCTTGGGTCTGTGTATTATTTCTCATGGAGAAGTCCCTTAATTTCTTAACAGCTCAATTTTTGCACATATTAGGGCTCCTTCTTCAGTTATTCTTGTCTTTAAATAGGAAGGTCAGAAATAAATACAATAATCGTGTGGAAAATATGGATGTTTTGTAACTTGCATAATGGCATCACTGCAATAATGAGCTGGATGGAGTCCTTTAGTCCATTTTGCTTCTGCAGCCTAATGTCAAGCTAATGTTCTGTGACTAACGTCTGCAGTAGCTGACATGCTCATTTTGTCTCGTGCCCAAGTATTAGCCAAGGCCAGAAATGTTTCTCTTCCAAGCTAAGAAAAGAAAATCTAGCACATGCTGCCAGTGTCTATTGCGCATAAAATATGTAACACTGCCAGTCTCATAGGGAAAATCAGTATTCTAGTTTTAAATTCCGTCTTTTATGAAAACAATGTTTTTTTTTCTGTTCTTCATGTTATCTGCCTTTTCTTAGAGATATGAAAGATCTGTCTTGGCATAGTAATACAATTATGGAACGCGTAGCACGCAACGAAGTTAAAACATCATCTGGCAATATCTACTTGCTACAGGGAAATATGGATTCAGCTTCGATGAGAAAAGAAGGTAAGAAGATGATTCTTAACGTAATATTACAATCTGAGAAGGGCTTTAAATTTTATGGTTGAACATACTGCTGAAGCAAACGTTTTGTCTTATCCTGCTAATTGGGCTCAGTGGGTATTCAGCCTATGCTGGAAAGTGACTCCAGCATCAGATTTCTAAATGCAATTTAACGCTAATTGTGGCTGGCATTTTTAGGCTGCTGCAGTTACAGAGAGGGCTTTCAGAGCATAAAGTTGGCCAATGTGTATGTTCTTTAAAAGAAACTGTTTTTTGCTAAGATTGCCTTTCTGTAATTTTGATCAATGTTTTGGCATTTAAATAGTGCCAAGATGTTCAAGTAGGGATTGCTTATACACTACTGAAATTACTCTGGTGTTCGCATTCTACCTGTGGCTTACTACTCAGTAATTAACAACTAGCTCTGCAAGGCTACATGGAATTTCTCTTTGGAGACAGACTCGTTATGGTGTCAGTGCTTTATAATTTAGTAAACTGATCCATCTTTAGGGTCTAAGTGGTATGTTGCACCAAATCCAGCAAAACTTCCTGCTTCAGATTGTTTTGCAGCATGTGGAATTTTAAAGGAAACTTAATTTACACACAAAGTTAAAGTTAGGCTAGGCTTTATTCTATTTTTCTTGCTTCACGTGCATCCTCTGTCATGTTCACTAGTAAATGAGCTGCCATGTTAGTGCTTACAGGCAGCTCTAGGAATGTAAAGATCATCTGTGGTATACATGGAATAAATGCTTGCCTTAATACAGACGCACTTTGTGAGCATGATCACACCCTTTTTAAAGGAGCATTTATGCACTCTTTGCTCTTTCAGGCCCAGCACAAGGCATCCAAAGATTTGTCTGTGACTTTCTCTTCTCACTTGCAGTACTGGGATGTGTTCTGATAAATACCTTACTTGGCTGCTCTCTGACTTGAATTTTTTTTTTCTTTTTTATTAGTTCCTCTGCTAAATACTTATATTTGTTTTTATTTTAATATTCTGAGAGGAAAAATGACAGCAAGAGACTTCTGAACAGAGTGGCTCAAGTACTACAGATGTTTCCCAAGCCTAAGACTTAATGGACTGTGCCATGTTAATTCCTCTGATCTTTGGACTTAGCTCTTAGGGCAAAACATCCTTCCTTTTCAGCTTCACCCTGGCCTCCCAACATCCCCAACACAAAAAAACCTGTCATAGGGTTGGTGTGAAGAATACTCTGGAAATACCCTGATCAGATTCAATATTGATATGTGGATCAAAAGAGAAGTTAAAGACAAGCTAATACAGGTAGAGAGGAGAAGAAATGCCACATCTAAAGTCTAACCTGAGGATTTGCCTAAACCAGCGGTACTGGCAGCCAGGAACCGCTGGGACTGTCAGCAGTGGCACCATCAGTTTGTGAACAGCACTGCACCGGTACAGAACTACTTGCCTGGGCAAGATATTTGGCTAATGTGTACCGATACTCCGAGTCACTCTTCAAAGCACTGTAATTATTAATGAAATGTGTTGCAGTAAGAGCACTGGCTCAGCACTTACCTACTTCTGCCTCATTATCAAAAGTGGATATTAGCAATGTGGTACTCCAGGTGTGCTGCCAAACCTATCCACTGGTCACTGCTGCTGAAACTGTGCAAAGGACAGTACAGCCTATTTAACTGCACAGGGCTCTGTTCCTGGAAAGGGGTTTTCTGTGGCTGATGTCCCGACAGCCCACAGCCGGAATTTTGCACACAAGCCCCTGTGGTGCTCGCTCCGTTCCAGCCTGCATCTATGCAATGGCATTTGCTGTGCTTTGGCTAGAGCCCTTCCTGATGACCAGGAAATATTTTATCTGGTCCATGTAATGAAAGAACCTATGTGCTATAATGGAACGCTACTCCTGAAGTGTTTTAAAGGAGCTGAAGGATAAAATAAGTAGCATGTAACATCTTGCAAAACAACCCCGCTTTGATACCTATGGGCCTGAAGGGTGGCTGATGCAAAGCTTTTTAAGAAAGTTGTTTCCCAAGTCCCTTGAAATTGAGGAATGTGGGATTTGGCATTCATGGGGTAAACCAATAGAAACTGTAACAATGGATGGGATTGGTGAATGTACAGTTAGTAAGGTATGGGGGGAGGCATCTACAGTGCTACTATAGATTAGCTAATGCCTCACAAGGACTTCTTTGATGGGGAGCCTAGACTTTGGGCTTCTAGAAGAGCTCTTGGAAAGATTGCTAGGATGCAAAGTAGTTATGTGATGAGGAGGAGGAGCTTCTGTGGGTTTAAATAACAATAGGAAACGAGGAATAAAAGGAATCCCATAATGATGTAGGCTGTTGAGCAGATGCATAGACTTTGTAGGAAAGAACATGAGCTGGGAAGCAGCAGCTGCAGTCTGATGTTGCTAAGTTGCATCAGGAATGTAAGGGTGAGTGCTGGCCACAAAGCGTATCATAAGAGCTTCAGAACGGACATTAAAATGATGAAATTCAGTCTTGATAAATGTAAAATGATGCATGTGGTGGCAGGGGAAAGCTTATTGTTACGTATATGATGGAGTGGTTTCATAGTTTGGTTTGGGAGGGACCTTTAAAGATCATCTCTTCCAACCGCGGTATGATAGTATATGATACATGATTGTGAGACTCGTGGTTCACTGTAAAAACTGAGGAACAAGGTTTTGGGGTTTGATAGATGCTCTATTAAGAAGAGGTCAGCTGAACGCTCACTAGCAGTTAAACAAGTTGAATGTTGAAAATGGACGGAACAGAAAGACTGCTATCCGCTGTAAAACTTGTATGATACATGAGCGTCTTGAAGACTTGAGTAAACTCCACCTCTTTCCTTCCCCCTCCCTGCAGAAACCTCAACAACCTATTGTCAAAAAGAATGCAATGTGTGGAGAAGAATGACATGTTTAAAGTTGTGAAAAGTCTTTCACAGGGCAAAGGACAAACTAAGCTAGACTTTTTGGCCTGCAGAACAGGAAACTGGGGAGGAAGTGTTTCTTGCCTTGTTTCTATACTCTTCTTTGGCCTCTGCTGTTAGTATCCTTTCCCTGGTTGGGGCTAGATGGACCTTGGGTTGTACACTAAATAAACTAATGGAAGAGTGCCTTTCTCCTTTCCCACTCCCCTGCACCTCTGTTGGTGCAGGCTGACATTAATGGCCTTTTGGCTCCCAAGAGTAACAGTTTGTGGATGTGATTTTTTTTTTTTTTTTTTTTTTTTGACTCATGTGCCTGTTGAATGCTTTCCAGTAAAGATACTGCTTCCCAGAATCTCAGATGAATAGGCTAGTATTTACGCTTGTTTTCTAATCACATGTTGCAGACCCTTCTTGTAGTAGGCCATGAGTCTAGTGGTCTCAGCATCAGAGGCTGGACACTGCTGGTTTTTTAGACATTACAAGCAGGCAAGCAGTGTCTCAGTGTTGTTGTGCTCTTGCATCTGTACAGCTTATATCCTGTCAATGAGAAGGCTACATGACAGCCTAGTATCCATGGGAATGTTAAATGTCCAATGTTTTGCTCAGAAAGGCCAGAGCGTTGTGATGCTTTTTTCCTTCTCTGTTGCATCTAAGGGTTATATTATACCTTTGCATCAATATTTGTTTTTAGGGTTGTCTTCCAATTTTAGAGACAAAGCTAGTCATTCTATTGTATCTGTACTACCTGAAGAACTTCACAGGTTGATAATATTGTTGCTAGATACTTTGGCTGCACCTGATCTTGATGCAGTTGCTCTTTGTCTAAGCCTCGTGAACAGTCTGTGTGCTTTTGACTGAACAGCTTCTGTATCAAAGCAAAATAAAGTTTTCTCCCAAGTGGAGTTCCCTTGATATGGTAAGTCCCAAACAGCTTAGACCTAACCAGAGCCTGAAAACCTCAGGCTGTCTGAGGCCTCCTGGCACTCTGGAGAGAAGCTATGTGCCAGTGCAGCTAGATGAACAGGGCAAGGTTATGCTCCTGGTTCCCAGGAAACTACAATGCTGTCTCCAGATACAGGAGAAGGGTTTGTAATAAATGACCCCTTGGTTGACTTTTCTATGAAGTATGCTGTTCTCTTAAACTGGGGAAACCTGTCTCTCTCTAGTGTTTAAAGGTGTAGTGAGCATCTGAGATACTTAGAAACCCATGATTGTACTGGGTATTATTTTTACCCTTTCTGATTAAAAGTATTGCTCAGCTATTGTTAATGCTACTTTTGTTTCAAACAGGATTTTCCTACCGTTTCATCAAAAGATTTAAATATGGGTTTTCCAAAAAGTGGAAGGAATACGTTGAGGAGTTTCTTGAAGAAAGGAGGAGGTAATTTCTTTGGAGATTCTGTTTCATTGCAGTATTCTATTAAGTATTTATTGAGATTCTGCTTTTCAAGAGTACTATACAACAGGAGTATAAAAGATTGTAGGTGCATGCATGAAGACCTTGTTCCAGGCAAATAGTGGTCACTGCTTTGGAAGGATACCCTTCTACCTTTCTTCATTGTACTGGTTTGGTTTTGTTCCACTTCTGTACGTAGCCTTAGAGTAAAGACAAGCAAAGGGCTTCACTGTTGTAGTGAAGACACTGATACAGTGTCTCTATGAGTACAGCTGTACTATGCACTAGCCCTTTTCCCAAGATGGGGAGAAGACTTTGATTGTACTTAAGTTAATGTGTTGTTACAGGACAACTCTTTCAAGTGTTTTATTATTTCTTTTCTTAAACTCCATATTGTTAGGAAAGAACAAAATCAAAACAGTGGTGAGGGTGAAAATGATGAGAGTGACTCAGTGGTGGGTATGGATGTGTTAAAAAATACAGAAGACTCCGCAAGAGATGTAAAGAAACCTGAAACCAGAAACACCACCTATGAAGTATTACCAAAGCATGATGAAAACATCTGTGAGTATTTGATAATCCTTTCCTTTGGAAAAAAGGTGGGGCTTTTTTGAGAGCTCTTTTCCCCAACAAAAGATACCTACTATCTGTCTGGTTCGGATCTTGTTAATTAGGCTGCTTGGAAGAGGTAACAAACGAGTTGGGTGAAGTTTTTTCTGTGTTCGCTTGGGCCGCAATGATCAAGAGCATTGAATTGTTTCTTTATTTCTGGTTTGCTGATGTACAACAGCTGCAACATGTGTTTAGGGGCTGTCTTGAGGGTTAACCCTGGGAAAGACGCAGGAGTCTGTTTTGGTCTGTAGTAGCAGAAGGCGATGACTCCAGAGCTGTTTGTTCTGACAGCAAACTTAATTTTTTTCCAGTTGTTATTTTGCGTAACATACTCTTAGTCCTTCTGGGACACCTGTGGGATTTAATACCTCTATCAAGGCTCCATCCCTGGGATGCGTCCCCTGCAGAGCCCACCCCCTTTTTTAGCTGGGTTAGGTTTAGCTGGGTTAGATTTAGCTCATGTCAAGGCTTGGGCAAGTTTATTTTACGGCATCTTACTGTTTTTGACACAGTTGAGGCATAGAGAGTGATAACAGCTGGGGATGGATGGGAATGGATTGTGGAAGAAGTCATTACATTGGCTTTCTTTCCAAAGGAAAAGGTTGTAAGGCCGCAACCCATTGACCCACCTGTTTTTTCTTTGCCTTGTAATGCAATCCTAGCCTTGTTATGGGCACTAATAGCTTTTGGTTTTAACTTTGACTTCTTTTTAATACCTTGTCATTGGCCAAAGCCCTGTTGGAACCTAACTTCATTGTACTATTTGTTAATACTGTAATCAGATTTTCTTGCTAACGCTATAAAGGCTGTTTTATTTTTTTCCTCTCATTACAGTTAGGATTTGTTCAGTGTACCAACTTTTCTTTATCATTCTACTTCGCTGTATGACTTTTACTCTATTTATAATCTTCTAAACACTATTTATAATCTTCTAAACAAATTAAAAATAAAAAAGTTCACAACAGTGAATTTTTATCATTTGTGAAGACTATTACTTCAAGCATGTTAAGGTATGCTTATTTCTAACCTGAACACTTTTCAAAGAACAACATAACATTATAGGAAGTTTTCTATTTTCCATGTAGTCAGTGAAATTAGCTGGTTTATATGCAATATCACTCCTATGCTCGTAAAATCTGCAAAGCTGCATTTTCAATCCAATATTTGGGACAAAACTATATTTCCTGTTTTTTCTTGTAGATACAACACCAAAACACAGTTCCATTTTGAATGACTCAAACAGAGTTTACACTCGTAGTGGCCGCATGGTTAAGCCACCCTTAAATTTCTGGTGTGGGCAACGTGAGTTTGTTGATCAGAATCTAAACGTTACTATAGAAGAAGGTGGAATAGATTATCTGAGCATGGTAAGATTCTTTTGCATATTGTATTGTAAATATAATAAATAAATTTGGCTAGGTATCTAACAGAAAGAGTCCAGCTCTTAATAAGCCCCTGAAGAGGCAAGAAATATTGAAAACATTATAAAAACATTTTAAAACAAACAGAAAATTCATCTTAATCTCTGTATTACCAGATAATTGTTGTTGTCCGTAAAATGGGGAATATGAAAAATTCCTTCTGGAAAAATAAGTGGTTTTTCTGAAAGATAAATATATCAAACAGGAAGTTGCACGCAGGTACTGGTTTGGGTCAGAGAGGTTCCCAAGTAAAACATTTTCTGTAACTTGTAATGCTGAGTCCCTGCCACAGTGTGTAATTACACAAGGGATGTCAGTGCTGCGGGTAAGCATTTGTGTTAATCTGTGCTGTTCTCAGTTCTCCCTTTCCTGCGTAGGGTTTCACATTCATTAGGACCAGATATTTCCTCACTTCTTGTATCCTGATCTGTCCAGCTTACCCCAGTTTTGACTGAGGTGTGGTGTTCTTATTTATTATGACACTTCCAGAAACTGTGATAACCTGCTGGTAACGAGTGAAGGAAAACAGCGTTCTTTGTGGTAGTTATGAGCTTTTATTTTTTAATCTCTCTAAGATTAGTTGACCTTATGGAATGGGGGGTGAACTAATGCTTGTCATCAGCTGCAGCGGTGAAGATGTATGTCCAGTTTAGCACCATCTCAAGCGGTTCTGGGTCTTAAGGTTTTAACTTGTGGTTTAGAATATTTAAATTTAAAGGGAGCCTGGCTAAGTTGCTTCGGTTGCATGCATTTGTGTAAACACCTGTGCTCATCAAATAATATTTAGTAGATACTGGTCAATGTAGGTGACTTTAAATCTACCCACCCTGTAAACATTTGGCTTTTTCAGAGCTGGCATCGATAGGCTTGATATGTAATCTCTTGCAGAAGTTTAGATTAAATTGTTTTATTTTGAAGATGTTTAGTAGTGAAAAATCCCAAAGACAGACCAGTTCCACCTTGAAGAAGAACAAAAGAAAGGTAGTGAAGACAATAGAAGAAACACCAAAAAAACAAAGTAAAGGTAATTTTTTTTTTTTCCTTGAAGTTCTTGACTGGAATCAGTGGGATTATGAGTTGGGTGTTGGAGCAGTATGGTGATGTCCTGTTAACGCTAAGAAACTATTTTAATCTTTTAATGGTTGATTGCTTCTTCTATGAAGAATTATCAGAGTAGCATTAATGCCTAGCTTCCTAGTTCTACAGCTCCAAATATAAACTACATTTGTAAATCACTTCTTTACTTACATCTTGGGAACAGCAGATTTCTTTCTGGAAATTGAAATGAAAGGATCATGACTTTTCTTTGAAGTTTCTGCTCCTGTACTTTGGATGTCTTAACGTAGCTATTACATGTGACTTGAGAGAGCCTGGAGAGAAGTGGCATTCACCAGCCCAGTGAACTGGTGGTCTGGCTTTACTTTTTAAGCTGGATGAATTAAAAATAAATGAAATGCCAGTGTTGGTCAAAGAAAACTGTATTAGTGTTTTAAAATCTTTATTTTTAATAAAATTTGGGAAATAATAGAACCCTGGAAACAATGTCAATATAAAGCAGAAGTTTCTCTTTTAAAGCAACTGTAATGTTTCCTGCAAAAAAAACCTGTTTGTAGCACAAGGAAAGCTTTTGGGACATTAGTGTTTGCTCAACCTCAGTCACAGCATTTTAGCAACACTTTCTGTTTTATTCTTTATCTGCTCAATACTTTCACGTTCCCTTTTGTAGCCTTGATAATCCGAATTCTTTTAGTTGTCTGGAGGCAGCCTGTCATGGGAGTGACCTGGGCTGGAGCGGGACATGAGGTGCCCTCCCCGCCGCGGGCTGTACTCCCTCTGAGCAGAGGGACACTTGCTCAGAATTAATTTGCTGCTTATGACTGGTTTCATGCTATGTCTTTGTAAGAACCGCCTGTAAATGGATTTTCTCTGCTTCCTGAGTGCCATGCGGAGGAATGGCCTGCCTGCTGGGACATGCTATCATGTCTGTATCATGTAGCCTCTCGTTCCTGAAGAATTTAACCCCAGATACATAGGAGTGTATGTGCGAGGGCAGAAGGACTTAATCCTTCCGAGACACACGTATGGGAAAGGAGCTGTGGCGATCTTGGGAAGCTTCACTACATGCCCTTTTTACTCAGTCGTGTTTGGTGACGTTATGGACACCCCTTGACAGCAGGACTGCG